CGGGGGTAGCCGTAAGGCCGAGCATCGTAATTGCAATGGAGAAATGCCATCTCTTCAGTCGCAGTCAACATCACGGCTGAGAGCTCATGGAACCGGACCGGGGTCGCCGTACGGCCGAGCGCCTCAATTGCAATGGAGAAGTGCCTTCTCTTCAGTCGCAGTCAACATCGCGGCTGAGAGCTTATGAAAACCAACCGGGGTCGCCGTACTTGGCGTGTGATTTCGGTTTTTTTACACGACTACAAACAAAACAATAGAGCCGTATGGCTGACATGTTTCACCCATGGCAGCCGTAAAGTGTATATGAAAGCAGAAGCCTGAATTTCGTAGACGCACTCGACTTTTGTGACAATTAAACGAACTCCGAAGCTTCTCAAGTGTGAATGTGCTTGTATGCACTGGTACGAACTGCAGGTGCTCCGATCTACTGTTAATGAAACCGGGACTTTAGTGGAGCAATCATGTCTAATGCCGGTGTTAATATGTCTAGCAGCTTGTGTTGCAACTGAATACGGTGGGGTTATCATAGTGTACAAACAAACGCGATGATGGCGGGTGAAGGTATGAAAGTCAGAAGGCAGCAAAAGAGCTGGATAACCTTTACAAAGATGTCTAAGTAATGGCAAGTGGAGACTACGATGACCTAACGTTAAAACCAATATGACAAACAAAAAAATTGCCATGCAATCGGACTGCATATGTGTGCATGGTGTTTAAACGCTACCGGGCGGGTTGTCTACAGGACCTCTGTGTAGGTTATGTTTCTAGCACAGTTGTTGGGGGAGTAAATGAAAACCCTGTCCTTAGACCCAACTCGTGAGCACCCAACGTAAAGTTGGCCGTGAGAGAAGCACTGCTCACGTAAATGCAGACCTGCGATGCTAAGCGTCTGTCCTTGTGATTTGTTAATGGACATAGCAAAGCAAAGCTTCACGGGAAATTGTGAGCGACGAAAGTTGATTGGTATGCTTGCGTCTGACGGCAGAAGATGCATCCTGGGAATCAGAACGACTTCCCCCCTTGCCGTAGCCAGTTGCAATGGTCGCCTCAATCAGGTTCGGAGAAAGAGGTTTAATAATGAGGCGAGTCCCGTTGCACTGTTTAGGTGGGAGCAAATTCCTGATTAGCATAATCGGAGCACCAACTTTGAGCCGAAGAATATGAGGTGAGAGTCCGGACGGCTGAAGGGAGTTCAAAACTTCTAAGGGATACTCAGCTAATTCAGATGGATCGGAAGTTCTGTCGATGGACTTATAAACATGACATTGCCCAGGAATGCAATCCAACAGTTTAAGGTTGATGGAATCAACTGTACAGTTCTTCGGTGCCAATATGGCCCTCCCAGCAAACCAATCGGCATCGGCAAAATTAGATGATAGGTTGTAGAAGACTGCATTCATCAATACATCCGGTGATTCAACAGTGGTGGCAAGCTGATCCATCTTCACAAAACCGTGTGTGTCAGAGGGCATTTTCTCCTCCCCAAGAGCAAGAAGTTCCCGTGCGAAGTCAGCGGATCTGGAGTCCCCATTCAAGTAGGCACGCATGTTCGTGCTCAGTTTAAAGAGTCTCCAGGTGGCGCCAAAGGGCAGACGACTTCAGGCAGGCGCGGACAGCATCAGCGCCTGTACCTTTAGGAATAATAGGTAGAGTCTGTCTAAAGTCGTCTGCGAGGAGAAGGGTTACTCCACCCATGAGGTCGGAGGAGTCGCAGATGTCTTGGAGACTTCGGTCAAGTGCCTCAAGGGCGCCCTTGTGTGCCTTCGTGCACTCATCCCAAACTATAAGTTTGCATCTTCGCAGAACTTCAGCCTGTGGCGAATCCTTTGTTATGTTGCAGAGAGGAGTTTGTGACCAGCATAGATCAAGCGGCAACCTAAAAGCCGAATGAGCGCTTCTACCTCCCAGTAGCAACGTTGCAGCAATCCCGGAAGATGCGACTGCAATAGCGATCTCCCCACGACGCCGTACCTCTTCCAGGACTAATTTAGTAACAAAAGTTTTGCCAGTTCCTCCGGGCGCATCTAAAAAGTATATACCTCCAGTGGAGCCGTTTGCCCTGTCTGCTATGGTAGTGAAAGCAACCCTTTGATCAGAAGTTTGGGCTCGTTTTCGGTAATGTAAGCGTTCAGCCCCTCAATGGAGCAGGATGTTTCCCGCAATAACTCAGTTGGTACAGTGTCAAAACCGTCTCTGAGCGGTGGTGGTAAACCGTAAGTTGGTAAAGAGGCACCCCCAGTACGAAAACAACATCTTCTTGGGCCACCAGCGTTCTGTTGAATATGAAGTCAGTGAAACCGCATTCAACTGCTGGGCTGTTACGCTGAACGGAGAACAGCACATCCTCCGATATGGATTCTCTGTACTTTAGCCAGAGCGACAGAGGATCGCTTAGTTCGCATCGCAAAAGCAAAATGGCGAACAACGTTCGAAGCCGTGATGGCGTTCTGAGAAGTTCACCCTCCGCCATGGCTACATCCCATTGGGAGTCGTCTTCAAGCAATCCCAAACGGAAGCATGCCTCTCTATAAGACTGGCACTCTATGCCGTTGACAGTGCGAATATCTGAAACTCGTTGGCCCAGCAATTTCATGAAGTAGAAGGCGGAGGTAAAAGCACTCCTGCCGGATGGGGGGTGGGCACAGTATAAACGCGTCCAAGGCAAGAGTTAGACCTTACATCGGGATAACCCTCGACAGGGTCGCCAGCCTTTTGTCGAACCCACCGGTTGTTTGACCACACGTAGTAGGACGGGACTTGGGGCTATATCAATGTTTTGGCAAAAGCATCTGTTGAGCATAATTTAAAGAAAGCCGTTAAGGTTGTGTCATTAGGGTTTTCCGTTTTGTTCGGTGAAGTACATCCTCTGTCCATTTTCCAAGTGAACAGCAAGCTGCACAATGGCTGGAGCCCTTTGGTGTATGGGGAATCCGAAAATTCGCCAAAAGGCTTTGCTACTGCTGAGGTAGCGTCCAGCCACGTAATCGGCCACCTCGTCAACGCAATTGTCGCGCCGGATACCGAAAACGACAGCATCGCTGCCTTTATTAACGTACTTGCAGATGTACTTTATTGACTTAACCGAGTGGCAGTATTCAACGTTTATGTGGGCTCCAAAAGTCTTGGACAACAGCGGGCAATAAGGCACCACCCAACGATTGTCCAGTGTGTTTTTTAACTGTCACAGTTCTGCCGCCCTCAGCGGGGCTTCTACGTCTGTACAGTGCGTAACCATCCATCGCAGTCTGCGTTTCTGAGATAAACTTACGGGGGTAACGCTTTACACAAGTGGGGCCGCTTGACCAACATGACCTTTTTTCGTAATTTGCGCCACAGGGGCCGTGTATCATATTGTTTTTAATGATTTCGTGGAGCAACCTGTTAACCTTATCGTTGAACCACAGCAGAATGTGGGCATGAGGCAAACCGCGTTTCTGCCATTCCACTGTATACATATGACACTTAACGCGTCTGAAGACTTGCCCTTTAAGGATTAAATCCATAAGCTTACACAGCTGTAACCGGAAAACGCAGGCAATTAGGTCAGCGTGGTGTGAGTACTGCTGACCTGGAAAAAGTTCCATTTCGGATTGCACGTGAACGTGACGAACAAATCAGGCCTCCCATAATGACGGACATAGGTCAGTGCGTCTTGTGTCCTTTCATGCATGTATCGAGGACCACCAGTGTAAGAGGAAGGCAAAATGCACGGTTTGCCGAGAGTGCGTGGGTCACCATCAGAAGACAGACCATCACGAAGGTAAATTTGGATTGGTTTAACTTGATGAATCCTAACCTCTCCGACTCCATTTTTTGATGAATCCTAACCTCTCCGACGCCATGTCAACAGCGAATTGAAGAAATAGTTGACGGCACCTGTGCAAGTGGTTAAATTCACCCTCCCTAACCATAAACATGTAGGCGTAGTAAGCCCTACAGGAGACCGTCTTTGAGGTCGACATGGAATCGCTGCTTGCCTAGTATATTGGGATTTTGAAGTGGTACCCATCGCTTCCGTATGGAAAAAGAAGTGGGTACTGGAGACAGTCGTATGAACGGTGGGTTTCACTGATGCGGCGCAGACCACCGCCCCGGTACCTTATGACAATGTCACGGCTGTTATGCTCCTCACCGTGGATGACTGCGGCGACTTCATTACATGCAGGAGCATTGAAGCGACGCTCATTCTCACCGTGAGGCCGTCTGTCTGCATCGATGACAACGCTGAAAGAGGGCGAAGAGTTGTTTTGCAACGCAGACTTTAAGCTTCGGATGTAACTGAAGCATGTCTTGTAGACGGAACAGAATGTCTCTACGGGGACCGACGGAAATATCGCTAGGCAGAATGCCGAGACGCGCATCAACCTGCTCGTTGTAGTCAGCGAGAAAGTAAATTTGTAGGAACTGAGGTGGCTCTCCCTGATCAGCCAAAAGTGATCCCATTAATTGGTAAACCTGGCCTTGCACTTTGAAAGTAGACATCCATCCCCCTTCACTAATTTCCTTCGCACCAAAAGACGTCATCTGGAAGCAACAGTTGTATTTACGTATTGCTTCAAGAAAATGCGTTGACTCCGAAGTTGTACCCAGAAGGAGGTCCCTCAGCGGCTGGGGAGGTTCGTCTAAAGAAGGAGTTTGATTTTTTCCCCAGAACAACAAAGCCCAGGTTGTTTCACCGGCCCACTTTTTGCGTTGCAAAAGTGCAGATTTTATCCATGGCCTCTATTTGTACGTCTCTCCTAGTGGAATAGTTGACAGTGCAGTTTGACCAAAATGACGCAGACGACAAAGTTACGCCATTCAAAGAAGCTCGAAGTTGGCTAATTCTTGGGTTTCTTGGGGTTGTTCCGAAGCTCTAGAGGCGGCTGTAGCCCAAAAGTATTCCTAAAGGCGACGTGAAGTTGTTTGTTCGGGTTTTTTCTAAACCCCTGGAGCAAATTTTTGGCGGCGGCATCGCGCAAACGAAATAAGGGTTTTCTGTGCTGGGTACTGTGAAGCCCTCAAACCAGCCACGCGGACTGCGTCCTGTAATTCTGAAGTGAACGTTCTTCAACTGAAAGCCTGGCGAGGCGTGCGGACATGGTTGAAGCCGCTGAAGCCAACCTTTCAGTTCGCGCAGCGGCGCTTTCCGTAGATAAGCGAGCAGCTAATTTCGAGGCCATCCGTGAAAGACGCAAAGAAGTCTGTTCAGGGGTTTCATCGCCCTCGCTGTTCTAGCAGCAGGGGGGAAGTTGTCGTGCGCCGTCCCAAAAGTTTCCCCTTTTAGGTGGCATCCAAACAGTAAAACGTCAAAGAGGGTAAAGCTTAAAAAAGAGATTTCGACATATCCAAAACGAAAAAACGTGCACTGCTAACGTAGACACAAAATGGGGAACACCCAGTAAAATGAGTTCAGATGTTACTAAAGGGGAACTCGAAACTAAAAAAGTGGAAATGTTAAAAGGTAAAACAAGGGTAAATCCAAAAGGAAATCGGTTTTAGTACAATTGGCTAACCTGTGTGGGGTTGGGTTGGAACTATAAAACAAAAAAGCAGCTAGAACACGTAATCAGCAACTTGCGGTGTCCGAAGTAGGCGAATAAAGTAATAATAAGCCAAGTCCGAGTCACGCAATAAAGGTAGTTGACCTTGAGCGCACTTACACATAAGCTGACGCGCGATCACGCGGGCGCTATAACGTGTGAGAAATCCTGCGCGATGATTGGACAGGCCCCAAGGTCAAGCTCTGTGAAAGCGACCAATGGGCTTCCAGCAGTCTCGGTATCGACACGTGGACTCGGTTGTAGGCAGCTGTGTGTGTGTAAGGAAGTTACAAAAAAGATAGTGTGCTGCTACGGTTATTTTTGCCGAAAAATTCTGAAATTTGACACATATAAAGGCGATAGTAAGCCGCAAGTGTGTCGTAAATTTCATTAGAATTAAACCAAAACTGTACATACTGTGCCAGTGAATGTGTGTACAGAGGGCTAAATCCTGTCCCTTGGTACCCCCGTTTATGTTTCCCTGGTCAAGCAGCTTTGACAGTCTTGCAAACAATTTGGTACTTGTTAGATAGCCAAGCATTAGTGCTATCAGAAACTGAACCATTTGCTTTGTTTTGGTGGCTCGGTAACAAAACATCGTCCAAAGACTGCGAAAAATCTGCATAAATGGCCCTTACCCGTGCTTTCAAATTGATTTCATGCAAAAACAATTGCGTTTTTCCAATTTTGGGCGCTGTCAGAACAACCGCCGGGTAATTTTACGTAGTCCTGTGAAGTTTTGTTGAAATCGGTTGAAAAATGTAGGAAATCCGATCCCATATATAAACGAACAGACACACACACACACACAACCTGGATTTTATAATAAGTAAGATTATACACTGTTACATTAGAAAGAACATGTAAGTAATTACTACAAAATTGTACATATTGTTTCGACGCTTAAATAAAACGTCTCTTCAGGGAATTAACAATGATGGTAATAATCTATTTCTATATTTATTGCTCTACTCTTGTATTGAATCCTGTTTTAAATTAATATATATATATATATATATATATATATATATATATATTGTCATCCACAGACGGACTGTTTCGCTGTATCACAGCTCCTCAGTGTGGATAGACTATATATATATATATATGTGTGAGTGTGTGTATTTAGGCAGCAATCCTTCTTTCATGCACATTTCATTGAAAACGACAGACAAGGTGCTTTTATTTAGTTTTTTATACAATTTCTCATGCGATCTAAATTTTTTTTTCGTTTCAGCTGATAAATTATATAAAAACTGTCCGAATGTTCTTTTTATCCGAGCGCTTTCGGCTATACATTTAGCCATTTTCAAGGATTATATTTTAACTGTTAAAATAAGAATAAGTTTGTTGTATGTATGTTTTATAAAATGTTTTCATGTCCATGTTCAAAGTTAATATTATTAAGTGTTGGTTTGTTTGTTTTTTATTAATACGGCTTCCATTATTTTTAGCCTTTTTTGCATGTAGATGGTGCTATTATATTAGTATCGTCAACAAGTATGTTACGAATAGTGTCCGGTAGGTCACCATGAATATTTAAATGAGATCTAATTGAGCTGTGGTCAGAAAGGTGTAAAGTGAATCTTCGTGTCAAACATGTTGTAGTGTGGCCTATATAATTATTTAGGAATTTTCATTGATCAGGAATACAATTCGGACAGTTTTTATATAATTTATCATCCGAAAAGAAAAACAATTATTAGATCGCATTTTTTGAACCGATGTATGCATTGATAAGTCTTTATTTTCTTCTTATATGATAATAGGATTTGTAATTACGTAGCAATTTATTTCTTTAGACCTGTTATCAAAGGCCTTTCCAAATTATTTATTTCAAAAACTACCAGTGACTATTCAGACCAGTCAGGCGAGCTTTCGACCAAAAACTAATACATCTCTTCATCTGGCTACATCGCATTTGTTTTCATGATAACGCTATCGACGTTCTTTTCCGCACATCTTTCAATACAACATGAGTGCAAAAAGCGTTCATGGTTCGGCATCGTGGAAATAGTCAGAGAGAGAGAGAGAGAGAGTAAACCTCCCCACCAATTAAGGTCACACTGGTTGCTGTGAAAGATCATGCTAAGGTTATCAAATGAATAATCAGTAGCATTAATGAAAACAAAAAACGAACAAAGAAACAATCCTTAAAAACCCCTCCACACCCCGGTCGTGTAAACTCAAAATCCCAGTTTGTCATTTTTACATAGCAACCTCACAGGTAAATCAGGTACAGATATGAGCACATTTAGGCTGCAGATAATTACCTATCAATATTCATCACGAAGAGTTCAGACGGTGACAGAAGGAAATATTCGCTATTTATTGACTGAGCAGCCAGTATGTTTTTTAGTATGCGCGTGCACGCACCTGCTATTCAAGATTCCAATTCCTTTGTGCAGTGCACATTGACAAGAATAATGTATAAATAAATATATAAATGATGGTATTAATAGCTGTTTCCTTATAAGGAAATATTCGGCATACATTGACCCAACGGCCTGTGCTGCTACTTCCGGTTGAATTTTATAAAATCTCTCTTAAAACAATTTTTCAGGAACTAGGTTCAGAAATTATTATCGCTCTTCCCAGTTTTAATAGGGCTTTTCCTTCCTAACCTTTTTGCTATTCATTTTAACTGTTGCTGCTGTTGGAAGTCCTAAACTAATGCAGTTTCTCTTATTTGGTATAATTATTTGTTTATGATTCTGTAGCCCCAGTCCACAAGGTTCAAAGAAGGATGATCTTTGCCAAGACATTCATTGCCAAGAGAAACCACATTAGTTGAGGACTTTCAAAATCAGCAAAGGTTAAAATGAATAGCACATGTAACTCAAAGTGAAAATAATGACATAGCAAAGATGACGGCTTTCTACATTACTTCAAACAAAAGGTTAGGAAGGAAAGCCCTATTAAAATTGGGAAGAGCGATAACAGTTACTGAACCCAGTTCCTGAAAAATTGTTTTAAGAGAGATTTTATAAAATTCAACCGGAGGTTCAAAGAAGGATGATCTTTGCCAAGACATTCAGGCTTCATTATTTTCTCTTTGAGTTATATGTGCTATTCATTTTAACTGTTGCTGCTGTTGAAAGTCCTAAACTAATGTAGTTTCTCTTATTTGGTATAATTATTTGTTTATGATTCTGTAGCCCCAGTCCAGAAGGTCTCAAGGAAGGATGATCTTTGCCAAGACATTTAGGCTTCATTATTTTCTCTTTGAGTTATATGTGCTATTCATTTTAACTGTTGCTTCTGTTGAAAGTACTCAACTAATGTGGTTTCTCTTATTTGGTATAATTATTTGTTTATGATTCTGTAGCACTAATCCACAAGGTTTCAAAGAAGGGTGGTTCTTGCTATAACCGACAGAATGTATTCGGTCGAAGCCCCCTTTAACCATTGATCTGAGAAAGTGCTTATCTACAGCTGATAGTTTAGATATTTCTGAACGGATTTGGTTATTTACATGATATCGATGTGAAAGTTTCAATCTGACGAGGCTAAAAACATGCTTTGAGTTATAAAGTAAAAGTTTTAGTTTTGTACCCACTTCAGGTGTTGGGTACAACTCCATTTTGCATAGCATATTTTATATTTAATGTCCTTCCCACCTTTATGCAATGTTGAGCAATCTCAAGACAATTGGCAAGGTAAAGAAATTCTATAAATGGGTTCCTTTTGGCGTTATTCGTTACAGATTTATGGAATCTAACCAGAGCATCACTGCTAAAGTTTACTATCAGAAACTGTGCTGGTTAAACTCTGCCTCCGAAGCAGAGAGGAACCCCAGACGAGACTGTCGAAGGGTAGAGTCTCGTCTCGGGAAACAGCTACCCGATCCCGTTTTAAAAAGTGTCTACGGGGAGTTTTTGACCGATCCTACGGGCTCGGATACACCACGTTAACTTCGGCCTTGTGCCACATCTGACCGCCTGGTGCGTAGATATCTTGAGGTCGAATATTGCATCAGGAATATGCTTGGCTGCATATCCCCAGAATGATACTGCAGATGCTCACTGACTTAGAATATGAGACTTTACCACAATATCCCACTGACATCTCGTCCACTGAGTACCACTTTTTCAAGCATCTTTTCCTGTCACTTCTATAAGTGTTTTCATGGTAGTTGACCTAATGAACTATATCACCCACGATACCTCGAATGCAAAAAGGTCAACTACATGATTGGTAAATAGGCCTCATCATTTCAATGTTGTAATAGCGAAGATGTAAACCTAAGTTTTATTCTAAAAATTCATTATCGCGCACTTCTCGCCTGTGGAACTCTCTTCCAGTTTCTTGCTTCCCTGTCACCTACATTTCTCAAAACATTAAACGAAATGTCAATCGCTATATTCTGTCTTATTCGATCCTGTTCATTTATTGTTTATTTATATGCGTCTTAGTGGCATTATCGCCATCTTGTCCTTTCTCCTCACTAAAGACTTCTCATTCTCTTTCACTCCCAGTAACTCCTTGCGTCTTAGTGTCATTATCGCCATCTTCTGTCTTCTTGAAACCTCTTCTTTTATTGCCCTTTCTCTTCACTCGGGTCTTTTCTTTGTCTTTCACTTCCAGTAACATCTTACGTCTTTGTTGTTTTATCCCCGTGCTTGTGGTGAAATGATTTGAAAACATTCATTCAATTCTGGTCTTTGGAGTCTTTTTTTTTTTTTTGTCTATTTCTTCGTCCACAAGTAAAAATGAATGAGAAGTCTCACCTTCAACTTCGATCTGAATTGATCGAATTTTCCGATTCTAGAGAAAACAAATCTATTATTTGCTGCATGCAAGTATTTCTTTGGTTGTCTTCTAACCATTTTTCATTGATCAAAATCAGCCCAAAATAATCCGAGGAAGAATCACACTTAAATGCAGACGATATATCAGACTTACAATAAATTTGAAGATGGCTGATATTTTTGTAAAGATTTAAAAGAAATCGGTGCTAATATAACAGAATCATTGCTTCATTATAACGCTATTTCAACGGCTTCACTTTTGATAGATAGATAGATAGATAGATAGATAGATAGATAGATATGAACAAACCAAGATAGATAGATAGATAGAATGAACAGACCGAGATAGATACATAGATAGAATGAACAGATAGAGATAGAAAATAGATAGATAGATAGATATGAACAGACCGAGATAGATAGATAGATAGATAGATAGATAGATAGATAGATAGATAGATAGATAGATATGAATAGACCGTGATAGATAGATAGAGATAGATAGATGGAAGTAAATACAGACAGAAAATAGAAAGAGAAAAAAGGAAAAAAATGAGAAATACTTATATATATATATATATATATATATATATATATATATATATATGTTGCACAATATATGAATAGGATAATGTTATAATATTACAAATATATTTTTTTCCCAGGTAGTCAACAAATGTTTATTAAAATATAATAAAACTTTTTATTAAAAGAATTACAACCCACTTTCAAAAAACAGTTACCAAGTTTGAATAAAAATACTCATTAAAAATTCAGTACTTTTGTTTTACATGGTTGTCAATGTAAACAATGTTTTGTGTACGCGTAAATATCAAACCAGATGTGTTCATTTTTGTGGTAAGCTGTGTATACTGCCGTTAATCTATGTAACTCATTGTGTATGAAAAAGAATGTAGTTGGAGAATAAATTTAGAAAGAAAATATGCCAAGATCAAAAGAACTTCTTGGAGATGTAAAAATCGCAATGTTGTAGCTTATAATGACGGAGAAGCCTATAAAAACGCTATGAAAATGATTTCGTGTGCCCGACTCCACTGTGCAACAAATTATTTATAAATGGAAGGCCTTTGGTATGACAGCATCGCAATCAAGAAGTGGCAGTGCAAACCTACCGTTAGCCTGTTCAACTGTCATATTCTTTGCCTCGAGCAGAGAGGAACCCGGACGAGGCTTTGGCGAAGGGCAATGTTTCGTCCGGGGAGGTAGACAGATCCCGAACCCGCTTATGCGGGTTCTAAGGGAATATTTTTGGCGAGCCTACAGGCTTGGAGAAACCCACGTTAACCTCGGCCTTGTGCCATATACATTCCTCGTGGGGGGACTGTTAAATATAGCAATCAAGAAGAATTAAAAATAACAGCAGGAGCAAGTATAGAGGCGGCTCCAGCTGTGAACTCTGTGGTTCTTCAATGTCGGAATCAGTGTGTATTCGTCTCGAGTGACCGATGCCGGTGGCCATGGCAGAATGCCAAGGAAAAAGTCATTGCTTACAAAAAAAGCACAAACCTCGGTTTATATAAATAATCTTGAAAAAGCTTTTATAGCTGAATGAGACCAAATTAGAGGTTTTTTCAGAGGAACGATAAACATAGCAGCGGTAGCACTATGATTTGTGGGGGTGCTTTGCTGCAGCTTGAACAGGCAAAATAGTACGCACTGACGGCACAATAGACTCTGCAAGATACTAAGCAATTTTAAACGAAAGTATCTTACCATTGGTTCAAATGCTGGGTTTAGACCGAGGCTGAGTTTTCCAACAGGACAATGAACTGAAGCGTCAACGCAAATGAACAAAAGAATGATTTTGAAAAAAAAAAAAGAAATTTAAATACTTGGAATGTCTAGTCAAAGTCCTGATGTGAACCCAATTGAAAAGCTGGAGTTCAAGTTAAAGAAATCAGGACATGCATATCGAGCAATTCTGGGACTTTTGACAAGAAGAATGGTCAAAAACTGACGCTCACTACTGCCAGAAAACAATTAAAAAAAAAGAATGGTCGACGTCGTGAGCAAGAAAGAAGCGTCACAAAATATTCAATGTAAGCATTCACATCTCAATTTTTAATTCATATTTTTATTCCAGATTGATAAAAAAAAATTGATAGTGGTTTAATTCCTTTAATAAACGGCATATATATATATATTTGTGACTGGTAGGGATAATTCCAAGGAGGATATAAATCCAGAAAAAGCTCAGTGTACACTACAGAGAATAATAATAATAATAATAATAATAATAATAAAGAAGGGAACTTTAATAAAGTTGTTTTTTCTTAATGAATGTATAGTTTAATTAGGATGTGTTGATTATCTGGAAAAAGAGTCATTTTTTAATACTATCTTAGGGTTTCATAAAGCAGCACTGCATATATATATATATATATATATATATATATATATATATATGAGCAATGCTGATATATATATTTATGTATATGAATATATATATATATATATATATATATTATATATATATATATATATATATATATATATATATATATATATATATATATATATATATATATATGACGATTGCGTTTAAATGAAACAGCCTGTCGCCTCTAAGTGTTGACTTCAATGTTCACTTTTATATTTACATATATCTAAATCTAATATTGAGCACTTTATCCCATAAATATAGCACACCTTAAGCGTATATTTATTCATATATATATATATATATATATATATATATGGTTTGTTGCTTTAGGCAGGAGAAACCAACTCGATTCCAAATTAGTCTAATGAAAGAGTTCCTAATAAAAATAATAAGTAGAGTTTACAATAATAATACCTAAGTATTCATTTAGACCGAAATTTCCTAGTCAATGGAGACAGGAGAAATATATTAGATTGATAGGGAGAAATGATCGCAAGAGAGAGGATGTGAAGAGAAGAAGGGGAAGGCTCTTTTAAAATGATGAGATGGAAGGGGTGCAAAAGAAATGGTTAAGGAGATAACAGATGGGTAGTAGTAAGCTTTAACAGACTGATTCTTAAAATTTGGAACATTGTACATTGGTTCATACACCAAGTTCACTGATATGGCCCGTTGTTTTAGGTATGACCAAACAACACAATTCCAAAGAAAGAATTTTAATACAAATAAGAATAAGAAATTACTGGAACAAAAGTAAACAAAGTAGACATAAATGGAGGGATATTAATTACAGATAAATAAACCAAATAAATTTAGAAATTTAAGTGTGAAAATACATGCAAATAAAATCAATTTGATACATATGTGTGTGTTTTTTAACATCATTTTTCGTGGAACATTCGAGAAAACATATTAACACTTTGAGCCAGGAGTTCTTGAGCAATTTTAACCATTTTGTCTGAGCTCCTGAATCAAAATTCGTATATAATAGGTATGTAATGTTTCATGGTAGATATAAAAAGAGTTACAAGTGTTTACCCATAGTTGAACCATTGGCTAGGCATTACGTCATTTTTCCCTACCACTGTTCAAACATTAGCTGGGCACTACGCCATTTCTTTTACCATTGTTCAACGGGTAGCTGCGCATTACGACATTTTTCTCTAACACTGTTCAACCGGTGTCTGGGCATTACGTCATTTTTCTCTACCACTGTATAACCGGTGGCTGGACATTACGTCATTAATTTACCATTCTTCAACCGTTAGTATAAATTCATTTTTCTCTACCACTGTTCAACCTGTGGCTGGGCATTACGTCATTTTTCCCACCACTGTCCAACCATTGGCTGGGCATTACGCCATTATTCTACCATTGTTCAACTGATGGCCGCGCATTACCTCATTTTTCTCTACCACTGTTCAACCATTGGCTGGGTAATACGTCCTTTTTTTACCATTGTTCAACTGGCGGCTACGCATTACGCCTTTTTACTCTACAACTGTTGAACCCATGGCTGGGCATTAAGTCATTTTTCTCTGCCACTGTTCAACAATTGCCTGGGCATTAAGTCATTTTTCTCTACCACTGCTCAAATGGTGGCTGGGTATTACGTCATTTTTCTCTACCACTGTTTCAACATTGGCTGGGCATTACGTCATTTTTCTCTACCACTGTTCAACAATTGGCCTGGCATAACGTCATTTTTCTCTACCACTGTTTAACCATTGGCTGGGCATTACGACATTTTTCTCTACCACTCTTCAACCATTGGCCGGACATTACGTCATTTTTCTCTACCACTCTTCAACCATTGGCCTGGCATTACGTCATTTTTCTCTACCACTGTTCACCCATTGCCTGGGCATTACGTCATTTTTCTCTACCACTGTTCAACCATTGGCTGGGCATTACGTCATTTTTCTCTACCACTGTTCAACCGGTGGCTGGGCATTACGTAATATTTTTCTCATTACGTCATTTTTTCTCTACCACTGTTCAACCATTGGCTGGGCATTACGTCATTTTCTCTACCACCACTGTTCAACCGGTGGCTGGGCATTACGTAATTTTTCTCTACCACTGTTCAACCGGTGGCTGGGCATTACGTCATTTTTCTCTACCACTGTTCAACCGGTGGCTGGACATTACGTCAATTTCTCTACCACTGTTCAACTGGTGGCTGGGCATTACGTCATTTTTCTCTACCACTGTTCAACCGGTGGCTGGGCATTACGTCATTTTTCTCTACCACTGTTCAACCGGTGGCTGGGCATTACGTCATTTTTCTCTACCACTGTTCAACCATTGGCTGGGCATTACGTCATTTTCTCTACCACTGATCAACCATTGGCTGGGCATTACGTCATTTTTCTCTACCACTGTTCAACTGGTGGCTGGGCATTACGTCATTTTTTCTCTACCACTGTTCAACCGGTGGCTGGGCATTACGTCATTTTTCTCTACCACTGTTCAACCGGTGGCTGGGCATTACGTCATTTTCTCTACCACTGTTCAACTGGTGGCTGGGCATTCATTTTTCTCTACCACTGTTCGGTGGCTTTTTTTCTACCACTGTTCAACCGGTGGCTGGGCATTACGTCATTTTTCTCTACCACTGTTCAACCGGAGGCTGGGCATTACGTCATTTTTCTCTACCACTGTTCAACCGGTGGCTGGGCATTACGTCATTTTTCTCTACCACTGTTCAACCGGTGGCTGGGCATTACGTCATTTTTCTCTACCACTGTTCAATCAGTGGCTGGGCATTACGTCATTTTTTTCTACTGTTCACTGGGCATTTCATTTTCTCTACCTGGTGGCTGGGCATTACGTCATTTTCTCTACCACTGTTCAACCGGTGGCTGGGCATTACGTCATTTTTCTCTACCACTGTTCAACCGGTGGCTGGGCATTACGTCATTTTTCTCTACCACTGTTCAACCGGTGGCTGGGCATTACGTCATTTTTCTCTACCACTGTTCAACCGGTGTCTGGCCATTACGTCATTTTTCTCTACCACTGTTCAACTGGTGGCTGGGCATTACGTCATTTTTCTCTACCACTGTTCAACCGGTGGCTGGGCATTACGTCATTTTTCTCTACCACTGTTCAACAGGTGGCTGGGCATTACGTCATTTTTTCTCTACCACTGTTCAGTGGGTGGCTGGGCATTACGTCATTTTCTCTATCACCACTGTTCAACCGGTGGCTGGGCATTACGTCATTTTTCTCTACCACTGTTCAACCGGTGGCTGGGCATTACGTCATTTTTTCTCTACCACTGTTCAACCGGTGGCTGGGCATTACGTCATTTTTCTCTACCACTGTTCAACCGGTGGCTGGGCATTACGTCATTTTTTTTTCTACCACTGTTCAACTGGTGGCTGGGCATTACGTCATTTTTTCTCTACCACTGTTCAACCGGTGGCTCGGCATTACGTCATTTTTCTCTACCACTGTTCAACCGGTGGCTGGGCATTACGTCATTTTTCTCTACCACTGTTCAACCGGTGGCTGGGCATTACGTCATTTTTCTCTACCACTGTTCAACTGGTGGCTGGGCATTACGTCATTTTTCTCTCAACCACTGTTCAACCGGTGGCTGGGCATTACGTCATTTTTCTCTACCACTGTTCAACCGGTGGCTGGGCATTAACCGTCATTACGTTTTTTTCTCTACCACTGTTCAACTGGTGGCTGGGCATTACGTCATTTTCTCTACCACTGTTCAACCGGTGGCTGGGCATTACGTCATTTTTCTCTACCACTGTTCACCCATTGGCTGGGCATTACGTCATTTTTGGCTGGGCATGGCTGGTCATTACGTCATTTTTCTCTACCACTGTTCAACCGGTGGCTGGGCATTACGTCATTTTTCTCTACCACTGTTCAACTGGTGGCTGGGCATTACGTCATTTTTCTCTACCACTGTTCAACTGGTGGCTGGGCATTACGTCATTTTTCTCTACCACTGTTCAACCATTGGCTGGGCATTACGTCATTTTTCTACCACTGTTCAACCGGTGGCTGGGCATTACGTCATTTTCTCTACCACTGTTCAACGGTGGCTGGGCATTACGTCATTTTTCTCTACCACTGTTCAACCGGTGGCTGGGCATTACGTCATTTTTCTCTACCACTGTTCAACCGGTGGCTGGGCATTACGTCATTTTTCTCTACCACTGTTCAACCGGTGGCTGGGCATTACGTCATTTTCTCTACCACTGTTCAACCGGTGGCTGGGCATTACGTCATTTTTTCTACCACTGTTCACCCGGTGGCTGGGCATTACGTCATTTTTTCTCTACCACTGTTCAACCGGTGGCTGGGC